AAACAAGTGTATATGCAATCGTAACTTATCGAACTAAAGTCATATCCCAAACAAAAATTTTCATGTCTAATTGGAACACATATGAAGTTGGATGTATTCCAAAGCAGACATATACTGAGGTACCACTCTATGCAGCTATTAAAACAATATGTTTTTCTTACAGAAATTTTAAAAAATGCATTTTCAGAATGATTGAAATGTGAAGAAAGACAAACAAATGAATGTTACAATGCTATTGATTTAAGGCTTTTAATATACCGAAATTAAACATCAAGGCCAGTTTGACCAGGAGAAAACTTGCTTACTGCTGCAAATAAAAATTAGTCACAAACATCTACTATATGCAAAATTTAAGACATCAAGCCCATTGAACTGACTGATAAGGTTGAGTAAAATAAAGATAAACCACTAAAGATGAAACATCACTAATAATTTAACAATTTTAAAGTTGTGCTTATAATTATAGGGGTACGATGAGAATTATAAGATTTAAAAAAATTAGAATTAGCTGGCTTATTTGAACTTGGTGCTCTGTTCAAGCTCAAACAATCCTTTCTTGCAATCAAAAATCATTTGCCTGACAAGAAGTGTGAGAATATTAAAATTTTGGTTTCCTGATTAATATAAACAAAATGCACAGCTGTCTGCTTCAGAAGGAATGCTTTCATTGAAGATATTAAAGGAAATATTTTGCATAAAAGTTACATGTGAAAATTCTGAAAATTATACTCAGCTATGAACCGTACTAAGAACCATCTAAGAGTTACCCACTCAACCACTTGTGAACATGAACACTTATAAAAATATCACGAGGATTGAATTAATATTTAGAAGTTACGAAGAAAATTTTTTACAATCAGGAGTATCTCTTAAAATGAAAGTTGTTAATTTTTAATTAACATGTGGAAAGGAATTATTTGCTGATTTGTGTTAAAGGAGAAGAAAAGTAAAATGAAGAAGCTACAAAATTTATTGCACCTTTAATAGAATTTGAATCAATGCTGGAAAAACATGCTAAGATAAATTTTCAGAAAGTCCAATGGTTTCAGCATGAAAATCATGTTCCATTTTATATCAGTATTATGATCTTTGTAAATTAAGAGTTATTATGGATTTTAAGCTTTGGTAAATTATTTATGGTAGAAATTTATTGCAAAAATTTTAAGAAGAAAGCACAGCTCATATTAAATCATAGGAGCTTCTCATTATAGAACAACCCTTGCTAAACAATTTTCTACAGGAAGAATGGAACATGTGCCAGTACTCTTGCCTATTGGCTACTGATAAATAGTATATATTATTCTTATTTTTATTAAGAATGTTCTGGTTTTCAAAGTAACATGAATCTGACAGGTATCATAAACAAGTGCTGTTAAAGAACTGCATCAATAAGTATCCAAAGTACATCAATATTGAAAGATATGGCATTAAATGATAAATTATTGCAGGAAAATGAAAATAACATTTTCAAATAAATGATTTTTAATTTTTTATGTATGTTACCTGCATGGAATTTAATACTACAAGAAACAGAATAAAGTCTTGCAGCCAAAAAGTATAACACTCTACAAAGCCACTTACTTAACACAGGTTTAAATCTTTCTTTACTGTAAATAAGAGAAAATATTTCCAGAAGTATTCTTGAGAAATTAAGAATGTAACTTTACATATAAATATATATGTTTAGAAATTTGCATTACTCCTTGCATCTGCACAGCACTGAAGAAGTGAAATATTCAAAGCTGTATAATCCTGCATTAGAAGCCACAAAATGTGCGAACTACAGGGTACGAGTCCTAATACTCGTACCATGGCCTGTAGCTGTGATTCTCTCCACTGTGATGCTGTGATTTAAGGCATGGAATCCCGACATGGTATATAGCTGTCAAAGACTAGAACAGGAAACTAGAAGAGTGTCCTGGACAGCATTTGAAGTATCATGTGGAATTGCAGCCAAGTACTTGTCTATCTAAATGAATTACCAAGCAGACTCTACTGATACAATGTAGCAGTTACGATAAAGCATCACTAACAGTTAATCATCTGTTATTTATCACATGTTTTTTCTAACATGCTATGGTTTGACATGTTCTGTTTACCTGTTTTGTAGTGAACAAGGAAAGTTCAAGGGAAGCACCAATTAGAATTTGTTTCACTTACATCAAGTATGCTCATTTGGTAGGCAACCACATTTTCTATTACAACAAAAACAAAACAACAGTATCGACAGAATTTGAACAGAAGGAAAAAAAAGAGGTTAATAAATCAGATTATCAAAAATCAATTGATAAAAAGACAAATTCCACAGAACGTTTTTTCCTTTAAAGTGTTAGATGCTTTACATTTCCAATTGAAATGAAGATGTGAAAAATGAAACAAAATATGTTGCAATTTTCATTTTTGAACTGGTAAAATATGATATAATATAACTGAATTATATAGTACTTCCCTTTTTTTGGGTGGACATTTTGCAGTGTATATAGGGGTATGCTTGTGAATAAGCATACTATAAGTTATGTTATGATTCAAAACAGTTACTTTAATGATTATAAAAAGGTTCAATAATAACTTTTATTGCTATGTGTATAATATATCTTCCCCTTTTTTCTGGGGGAGTCATCAAATGGCTGAACATCTTGCATTGCATATCATACACAAATTCACATCTTTGTCACAGCTGAAAACATATGTAGGCACGGTTCTGGGATTAAGTACGAGGGCATTAAAAGAACTGTTCATTTCTGAAACCAAGAGAAGAAATATCCACCTAACATTTAATATGAAAGCATACAGATCTCTTTAGAACAAAGCAGCCAATCAAATGGTAAAAAGTACTATACATAAAACAGAATGACAGTAAAACATATAACAAAATGCAAGACGTTATTGTTGTCAAACTCATTGGCAAAAGGGAGAAACAAGTCAGTAACTTTTGTAGAGAGTTAACTTCTCAATTTCAAAAAAAAAAAAAAAAAAAAAAAGAATCTGCACCAGTTCTTTAATTATTCAACGATTAACAAATCACGGGATATTTTCAGCATATTCCAAGGCACTTCAAAAGGATTGTTCACTATGCATATTAATTGAGAGCGAACGTGCAACATTAACATCCAAGACTATTCCCGAAAAAGTTTCTTCCTAAGCAACTTCTCACTTAGGAGGTATTAACTAAGGTATTAAGATCTACATTGCCAAAACGATCTCACTGAAATACTAAACTGCATTAGAAAAATGGCAGATGCATAACTTTTAATATCTAGAAATGACAATTTTTGTGTATGATGTATTTGCTGTATATCTGCATAACTATAGCCTATACACTTTTGTTTCAAATAATAAAAATAAGACTCACCTTAGTGCTGTTCTTCATATCTTTTAGTACAAATGTTTGATGTTCAAGTTTTAATTTGTATATAACAGAAAAATACTGGAAGATACAGAGATGCAGAAAGCATAAGAATGTACAGAGATTTGATTCAAACTTAGCAGTTGCATGCATTAAAAGCATAGGATCAAAATATTCTTAGAAAAAGTGTCAGACTTGACATAAAATCTCAGAAGAGTTTTAAAGACAGGTACAGTGGGTGAACGGTTAACAAACAGTTCGGACTGCAAACAAATCGGACAACAAACACTTTCATGAAAGATTTTTGTGTTCGGACAATGAACACATATTCGGATAATGAACTAAAACGAATTCTAATGAACACTTCTTGGCTCTCGCAGCTGATTTCTGCTCGGCGAAAGCTGTGTCCATCGTTTGTTCAAGGAGATGGAGGTGATCAGAGAGACACCCCTGAAATTATGGACGAAATTTTGACAACTGCTAGAGATCTGGAATTGGAGGTGAATGAGAATGACACAGAAAAGCTCATAATGGAACATGAAGATGAAATGACGACAGAAAAACTCCAAGATATCTTGAATGAAGAACATCAAGAAACACAGCGAAATGTGTCTCCTTCTGAACGAGAAGACTAAAGATGACCAATGCCGACATCTGCCATTAAAGATCTTTTGAAGAAATGGCAGGATGTCAGAGCAATGGTCTTAGAATGGCACCCAAACAAAGCTGATGTCAATAGGGTTGGGATCTTTGCAACGACAATGCTAATACTCACTTCCAGAAAATCCTGAAAAAGAGAGAAAAACAATCGACAATGGACATGTTCTTTAACGCCCCATAAAGAAAAAATGAAAAGGACTGATTAATATGCAAGGCTATATTTATGTATTATTTTTTTAATAAACTTACTAAGAAATTATACATTCTATTTTAAATTTAATTTCTAGGGTCTCCAGAACAAATTAATAGATTTCCCCAAAAAAATCTATGGTAAATTGATGATCGGTTAACAAGCAGTTCAGATAGCGAACATAGTCTTGTAACAGATTATGTTCGTTAACCGATCACCCACTGACTGTAATTAAAACTAGTACACTGACTCTCATAATCCTTGATAAGTAAAAAATAATAACCACTAAGGAATAGAATTCTTTAATCTAAGGTAGTGAGGTTCTGAACCTTTTGACTAATGTGTACCATGTAAACAAAAATTGAAAACCTTTAGTACCACCACTCTTGAACAAAGCTCAGATCACATAAATTTACGAGTGTTAGAGAATACTTTCCTTCTTTGCATACTGCCTATTTTTCTCTTGCGTATCACTGGTTAAGAATCCCTGATCTAAAGTATTATAAATGGCTTAGAAATACGTAAGGCTTGTTTGTAACTTTTGTATATACCTAAATGGAACCTTTCAAAAGCAGAACCTGGTGTAAATGATATGAGTTTCAGACATTTATTATAACTTTGCAGAAATATTTGAGTTTTCACAATTATTAAGATGTTAAGAAATAAGTACAAGATAAAACTTATTTACATATATGAGAATTTTACTATGCTCTTTTATTTCATAATGTTCACATACTGACAGCTCATTATTTTTTTTTTATTGCTCTTGAAGCTAATGTGTTACTTGAAAAGCATTAAACAAGACACTTTGAAAATTCGTTTAATGTACCACTTTCTAAATAACATTCCTCTACATTTCATGAATTCAGTGCAAAAGATACACAGGTATGAAAAAAAATATATATATATAGCATCACAGATGCCATAGATGTTAAATATGTCATCTCTAATAAACATAGCCATTAGAAGAAATTTAATATTATTTTGTTTCAATATGGCATATTTTAAATAAATAATACTAATATCAGCTGAATTAAATGTTTATACAAAGCATTAAAATTAAACATGAGAGTACTCAAAATAAATATCACATTTCTGATATCATCAGTAAGTTTTTGTTGGACCACAGTAAAAAAAATGACAAAATGAATGAATCCTATTTTACATATATTATGAAAATTCTTAAAGAAAAGAATGTAAGTAGGGAAGTAATAAAAAAGAAAATTAATAATGCTTTAATATAAAAAGTTAATGATTATAGTTTTCAACACTTTTAAATCTGTAGAAACAAAATATAACTGCCATAAATGACCAAATTATTTTCAGCCAGTGGCAATACAATTCAATAAAAAACACATGGAAATATTAATCTCCAAGAGCATGACCTTGACCCCACCCTCGTCCATTGTTTGGTGGTGCCTGTCGAGATGCTGGTGGTACTCCAACTCCAGGAGCAGTTCTTCTGGTTGGAAAATAATCATAGCTGAAGAAAGGGGAAAAACCATAATTCAAATAAAATATACATGCAGCTATAAACAAAGCATTTAAATATGACTTTTTTTAATTAAGAAAAATTCAACTTTTAATTATTTTGTATTGTATTCGACAGCATTCAAAAGCCTCCTCCCTTATTTGGGATAAACATCAATGGCACAACAATGCACTTGAGTTTCAGATATTGCTTTGCTATTTTAAATTAGCTGTCTAAAACAGAATATGAGTGTGGTAAGGTTTATTTCATTGGTTGTGGTGGCAAAAGTATATGTCACACGTTATGATAAACAGGAATATAGTGGCAACTTACCCCAGGACAAGATCCAGGTCTATAGCCCGCCATGACAAGAAAGTGACAAACACGTAAAAACAGATTTAATTCTTGCTTTATTGAATACTAACAATGCTGAAGAAATATTATTTTTTTGAATCCGTTGTGCCACATGGTGATATGAGGCCTCCTCACTCAGAAAATAAGATAGATCAATTCTTCCACAGAGCCCTTCGAAGACTTGGTATATTTCAGCTCAATCACATGCAGGATGCCAGGGAATTCATCGGGATGCCGGGCGAAAATGCCAAGCCCGGGAAAAAAAAGAGATTTGCTTAAATTTTGCAGCTACAGCATCCAAGAGAAAGAAACTCGCTTCCTTCATACACTTGGGGAGACCAAGAAAGCTTGCACGATAAATTCCCAAAAGTTTGCATTTTACCCCACTCTTACAGTCTTTCTCTATACAGCATCTTCATCTCGCACCTTTGCAATCTCCTCCTTCTTCTCTCTCCTGGTGGACAAAAATTACCGCCTTTTATAAAGTTCCACAGTTAAGTTTTGCCACCAATGAAAAAAATCCAGCGTCAGAAGGCAACCAATCGCAAAATACCTTCAGCTACCCAGGCAAACAGAAGTAAAGACGCTAGTTGTCTGATGCAATACTTTCCTCCGCTTACAACAGTTGTCTGATGCAATACTTTCCTCCACTTACAACAGTTGTCTGATGAAATCTGTTCCTCATCTTACAACACAAGTTGCCGAAAAAAAGAAACTGTCACCAATGGAATCTGATGCAAATATCTAAATATTGCCATAAAGTAGTAAATAATTAATTCAACATGACCTCGTGACATATCCACCCCTCCTTCGGGAAAAAAAGGAAAAAAATTCCTATGTGCACGAAGAACATTCCTAGTGTTAAGAGGCAGCCTCATATCAACTCGTGCCAATTTATGTTAAAGTGCTGGTTGAAAATACATATATTACACACAAATTGCTATTTACATAATAAATAAAAGTACTTAGCATACAAATCCAGACAACTAACAATCAGATGTGCTTTAAATAAACATACAATTTCTAACATATTAAAACATGGAGATCATTTGGTTAAATTGCTATCGTTTAACACCAAAGTATATGGATAATTGTGCAAAGAGTCCAATTTTATACTGTTGGCACAGATAATTAGAGTTCAATTGATAGTCTTCTGTGCATCACGCACAGTAACGGAAGCATTCATTTTAAAAGTCCATGAAAAATATTAGAGTAACGGAAGCATTCATTTTAAAAGTCCATGAAAAATATTAGAGTCCATAATATCAAAAAGTCTATAAATTTAAAATAATTATGGTACTAAGTATTCAGGCACAGTCTCTAACATGTGTACTCTGTAATAAGTGATATAATCATTGCACATTCACATAATTTATCCAAAATATTGAAGAACTAGGCACATAATTGATAATAAGTGTGCGTTAAATAACTACACAGTCCATAAAAATAGTCGAGATGTCAAAAAATTTGAACATCGTTCATATAGTTCATAACCTACATTCTGTTCTATTTGAATAGAATTCAGCATTTAAGAGGATATATGGATACATAAACACAGAAATATCATGTGTAAACAAAATTAACTTGCTCTTGCAAGTTAATTAAGCATAAGACAGTTGTGGTGGTAAATGCATTAACAGTGAGTCCTCAAAGGCACAGTAATAGAATATCATGCTATGGTAATTTAGTAGCACCATGTAATATAGTTTAACATATATCATTTCATGCTACTCCAATGCAGCTAGATATTACCAACATTCTGAATTAGCACATAAAAGGGAGCAGCACAAACCCTTAGAATAAAGTTAATATGCATCGAACCATTGGACCAAAGTAAATATATCATGACATACAATACTACTCATGCTACACAACAAACAAAATTCCCATACCAACTTTTCATGCAAAACATGTTTCATGCTATAAATATGTAGTATAACCCATACAGTTTCAAGATAAAAGTAGGGCGTATAAAATATTTCAACACACCTCATGGTGACTAAAGATTAGAGAACCGTTACAATAAAATAAGAAAACATGCTTTATGATAAAGCAAAATTGCAATTTTAACATACTCCTAGTTACAATTAATAAATAGCATTTATGACGACAAAATATTACAAGACAACTATAATCACATCATACAGAGAGATTTTGAAAAATAAAACACCTTTAATCACTTTAAATATGTTAGGCACAATGTTGTTGAATCTATAATTTATATTTAAGGGTGATCAAGCCTTAAACTCTAATGATTATGCCTGCACAGTCATAAGAATTCAACAAAAGAGGTGCAACAGAATAAATTTGTTACTACAATTAGATATAAACACACTACTTATCAATACATAACTTTTCATGTATATCAACATTCTACAATACAATAGTAAAGATGAGAAGAAAATTTAAACGTGCTGTCTGTTTCTTAGATTATACTGATGTGTAACTTGAGGAGCAGGAGGTGGATTTTGAACTAAGTGAGAGAATCGTTTAGGAGCCAAACAAAGGCGATTGATGTGAATCTTGAATGGTTGAGCAAACTCACTGTCAAGTGCTCGAATAGTGTAGTTTAGTTGTTCTACTTGTGTTCGCTCAAGCGTCTCATATGCATGTTCATAAGTTAATTTCAGTTGTGTTAGAAGATCACACAAATAATGGGATTTATCCAGTTCAGCTGGCCTTGGATCAGGATGAAATGTATCAAAAATTAAAGATAAGTTTCTTCCGAAATGCAAAATATTAGAATAGACTGTTGAAGGATGAATAGTACCATTGTAAATATTCTGATGGATTAACAATGCATTTTGAAATGAAACATGTTTTTCATGAAGGGTAAGTAAAGAAGTTTTGATTGAAGTATTAACTCATTCACTTTGTGCATTGCATTCCGGTCTTTGAAGAGAACAGTGAGATAATTTAATACCTAATGATTTTGTAATTGATTCAAACACTAATGAAGTGAATTGTGTGCCCAAATCAGCCAAGATCATTTCCAGTCTTCCATGTACAGATATATATTGTAATAAATGCCCTGTAATAGTTTCAGCAGTGAGATTTTTAAGTGGATATAAAGCACGATGCTTAGAAAAATGATCTAAAACAGTAAGAACATGGCCACAATTCCTTATAGACCGACAATATCCATGAAAATAAAGTCATTGGAGTACTTAGGTATTCTGATGGCTTTATATGGTACTTGTTTAGAAGTGAAAGACTTATATTTGTTGCATAAATGACACGAGAGGACAAAGTTCTTTGTGTCATTATACATGCCCTTCCAAAAGTAATGTTTCATTAAAATTTTATAAGTCTATTGCACCCCAAGATGGGATATATGGGAAATTTCTAACACTTTAGATTTGAATGCTTGGGGAACAACAATTAACTCAGCATTATTTTATTTGTTTGAAATAAACATAAGAAGCTTGCTTGACTCATTAATGAAGAAATTATGTACCTTTTCAGCATTAAGCAAGGAAGGATTTTTCAAAATTGTGATAATTTCTGAAGTAAATGGATCCGAACTTTGCTCAGCAAGAAACGTTGACTCAGAAATTTCATGAGGAGGATCTCCAGAAGAAACCAGGGCATTTACTTGGGGTCGTTCAATATTTGTTTCAACTAACGGAAGAATAACTGAGTTATCTTCAGAGTTTTCAGCCAACACTGGCTGATTATGATCAGGATCTTGCATATGTGACATGTAATCAGCTAGAGAATTTAATTTTCCAGGAATATGCTTAAATTCAAAAGTATATTCACTTAACTCCATAAGCCACCTAGTCGTACTGTCAGCAGGTAACGTAGATTTTTGATAATGCAACAGAGGTTTACTATCAGTCAAAATTGTAAACTTTCGATTATATAAATATGATTTGAAAGCAGTAACAGACCGATAAATGGCATAAAGTTCCAATTTTAAACTGGGTATTTTCTTTCAGATGGTGACAATGTTCGACTATAATGTGACACAGGATGCAATTCATTGTTATGTTCCTGCAGAAGAACTCCTGAAATATCATGATCACTGGCATCAGTATTCAGTATAAATTCCTTGTCCCATTGTGGTAATATAACAAATGTTTCAGAAAAGAATATATGCTGAAGTTTCAAATGCAACGCTATGCGCATCAGTCCATTTAAATTTATTCTTCTTACTGGTCAATTGTGTCAAAATATCAGTAAGTTCGGCATAATTTGGTATGAGATGTCTATAGAAGACCACAAAGGCCTAGAAATTTTCTGACCTGGCAGACAGTCTTAGGTGGTTGAAAGTTAATGATCTTAGCAATATTAGTTGAAATGGGTTTAATTAAGTTATGAGAGATGTGAAATCCCAAATAATCTATAGCTGTTTTGAAAAAAAAAAACACATTTTGTAGGAGACAGTGTTATGTTATACTTAGATAAAAGTTTCAATACTGCAGTCAACTTAGTCATCATACCATCAAAGTTAGAAGCACCTATTACTATATCATCCTGATATGCATGCACACCTATGATGCCGTCCATTTTCAGTTCATCAATAAGCGTATCCACTAAAGCTTGAAAAGTACTGGCAGCAGTCTTTAAGCCAAAAACTAGCCTTTTATTAGCAAAGGATCCAAAAGGTGTAGTAAATGTTAACACATCCTGCAAGTGATCGGGAAGTTTAATTT